TCCTGTCCTGCCCTCCTGCCTGGGCAGTGCCCAGCCCTGCCTGCCCCCAGCCCCCCTCTGCCTCGCTGCCGTGCTGGGGCAGGAGTGTGGCTGCAGCCTCAGTGGCCCTTTCCAGGGAGAAAGCAGCACCCATCCCTAGCAGCAGCCCTGGGGGGGCTGGGAATTTGCAGGGGCTGAGCCCCCCCTCCTTTGTTTTTAGCGGGGAGGCTGGTGGCAGTGGCTGCTGCTGCTGGTGGGCATCCAGCTGGCCGGTGGCCAGTGCCCGGAGCAGTGCCAGTGTGTCCGCACTGCCCAGGTGGAGTGCTCCGGTGCCGGCATCACCACAGTCCCCAGCCCCATCCCTGCGAATGCCGTGACCCTCCAGATCATCAACACTCACATCACTCAGCTGGGAGACGCGTCCTTCCGCAACGCCTCCCTGCTGATTGGGCTGCGCATCGAGAAGAACAACCTGTCGCGCATCAGCCCTGGGGCCTTCAAGCACCTGCCCGACCTGCGCTACCTTAGCCTGGCCAGTAACAAGCTGCAGGAGCTTCCTGTGCAGGTCTTCGAGCCACTGGACAAGCTGGAGTCGCTGCTTCTCTCCAGCAACCAGATTCTCCAGGTGGAGCCTTCCCACTTTGCCCATCTGAGCAACCTCAAGGAGCTGCAGCTGCACGGGAACAACCTGCAGGAGCTGAAGGAGGGGGTGTTCGACCAGCTCACCAGCCTCACCAAGCTCAACCTGGCCAGGAACAAGATCGACCCTGGCCAGGACCAAGATCGACCGCCTGCCGCCCCAGGCCGTCGAGCGGCTGGCACGGCTGCAAGTGCTGCGGCTCTACGAGAATCGGCTCCGGCAGATCCCAGTGGGCATCTTTGATGGGCTGCCGGAGCTGCAGGAGCTAGGGCTGCACCAGAACCAGCTGGAGACGCTGTCCCCAGAGCTCTTCGTGCACAACGGGAACCTGCAGAAGCTCTACCTGTCCAACAACCTCATCACCGCCCTGCCGAGCGGCGTCTTCTTGCCTCTGCGCGCCCTCACCAAGATCACCCTGCACGTCAACCGCCTGCGAGACATCTCCCCCGGTGCCTTCGGGCCCATGCCTGACCTGCGGGAGCTGTGGCTCTATGAGAACGAGCTTTCCACCCTCCCCACTGCCGTCTTTGGCAACCTCACCCAGCTGCAGCTCCTGGTCCTCAGCAAGAACCAGCTGCGCTCGGTCGCATCGGGGGCTTTCCGGGGTTTGGGGGAGCTGCTGGAGCTGTCACTGCACTCCAACGCTCTGCGCCGCCTGGACGCCCAGGTGCTGGAGGGGCTGCCCAAGCTGCAGAACATCTCCCTGCACCACAACCAGCTACAGGCGCTGCCAACCAGCTACAGGCCCTGCCACGCGGCATCTTCAGGGCCACCCCGGAGCTGCGGCACCTGCAGCTGCACGCCAATGCCTTGGAGTACCTGCCCGCCGGCATCTTCTCCCCACTGGCCACCCTGCGGGAGGTGAAGCTGCACAACAACTCCTGGCGCTGCGACGAAGGTATCCTGCCCCTGCGGAGCTGGCTGGAGGACAACCCTCATAAGGTGGGCGACACACCCCCTGTCTGCACCCAGCCCCCTGCCCTGCGGGGCACCCCCATCGCCCGGCTGCTGCGGGACCAGCTCCTTGCTTCCCAGCCCTCAAGTGTCTCTCCCTACCCCCTGGGGAGCACCCTGCTCCCTACTCACCCCTCTGAGGCGGTGACACCAGAGCGTACCTGGACGGAGCCCCCCGTCGGGTCACCGGTCTCCCCCCAGGAAGAAGAGAAGGGGGGATGGTGGGGGCTGACGCGCACACAGAGCGGGGTGGTGGTGGCGGTCATTGTCCTGGTGTGCGTGGCCCTGCTTGCCGCGCTCGTGGCGCTGGTGGTTTACGGATGCAGGAAGAAGAGCCATGTCGTGCTCATGAGGATGAAGGCACCCAACGAAGCCTGAGACCCTGGCAGACCCTGAGGGGAGCGGTGCTGGTGGGATATCCTCTCCCCACTGGGCCAAGGGACATGATGGCAGCTCAGCGTCAGCTGCCCTTGCTGATTGGGATGGGCCAACATTACCCCATGTGCTGCACGTCCCCCTGTCCTGCTCTGCTTTGCCCTGTCCCTGCTCTGCAGCAGGGCATTCCCCCCACCCTATGGATGCCCTCTGTCCCCAGCCCCCCCTGCCTCCAGCACAGCCTCTGTGCCCATTCCCTGCAGCAGCTGGGGTGTGGGGTGCTGAGAGGGACGCCCTGAGCAGGGAGCCACAGCCTGGCTGTGATGGTGCTTACTCCGAACAACAGGACTTCCCCATCCTTCACCTCACATTGGCCCCTCAGCATTGCCTGCCCTTGCACTACCTGCTGCCCTCCCTCAGCCCCTCTCTACCCATCTTCCCGCCCTCC